CTGGTCATTTTTGTTTTTTAAATAATGGGCAACAGGGCGAAACAAAATAATGGGCACCAATGGTAACTTTAGATTTTATCTTGAATCACTAAAGTCTAGTTTTCTGCCAAATCACCTAAGAAAAGACATCAGTTTTTGCCAAACTTTTCCATTTGTTGCCTAAGATATTTTGCTTGACATTTTGCAATGTAGGAATGTTGTTATTATAGGAATGTAGCTGTTAACTTGATTATTGCCTCTGATAACATCATTTTTGAAGACAATCTTATCAGAGTTATCAAAATACATTATCAAAATCGCAAACAAAAGTTTTTTTTTTAAAAAAAAGTGGGGCATGGATCCCAGTGCCCCAGCTTCATGGACCCTTTGGTGTTCGATGGTTACCGGATACCGGTATCCACAGTAGCGGTATCTACCGGCATCTTGATGCAGTATCCATTTTTCCAAGAATACATCTTTTAGTAATTATTACAGGCCTTGTTAAGAAGCGTTTCCCTATTTGAATTTTACGTACATATTCTGCAATTTACGTTACGGAACTTTTTTCAATAACAATGAAGAACCCAGACGTGTTTTATTACTGTTTTACCGGTATGGGCGCCCAATAAAACCGCCCAAAAGTTATTTTTATTTTTAATTTTTATGAAAAAAAGAAAAATAAATTTAGTTTTAAATGCAGTAGTATATAAATAATTCTCAGTTTAATTTAGCTACCTCATTTTTTCTTCAGGAAAATAAAAAGAATTAAAAAGAAATTGCTCTTTTACATAACTATGTGACGTAATTGCCTTCGATTATTATCTGGACATAACTTTTAAAAAATGTTGTTAAAAAATGAAAGTTGTTACAAAACTTAATTTTAAAACCACGTTGCAAAATTTTATAACAATGGAATGTATAAAAGATTTGCTTTTTTGAAAGTTAAAGCGTTTTTAAATATCCATTCAGTGTAAGGTTAATTTTTGTTTTTGGCAAGTAAGGGTAAACTGCTTTTGATAATAAATGAACTAAAGTAAAAAATAACTTGTAACTATCACACAAACTTGTAACTATCCTTGTAACTATCGTGCAAGTTTAATTTTTAAATGAATGAACTATTGATCTTTAGCTTGCTATTTAATTTACGTGAGGAAAAGGAATAAACAAAGTATAAACTTTTTCAGACAGTTTTTTATCCTTTCAATACTCTTTTTAAAATAATAAAAAAAAAGTAAAAAAAAAATAATAAAAAAAAATATATATTTATAATTTATTTTATTAAACTTAAATTAATTTTATTATTATTCATAGTTTTAATTTATTTGATTAAATTTAATTAAAATTCTTTTAAAAATTTAAAAATGCTCCGTTTTCGATTTCTTTTACTAATGAAATTTCCAAAATTTATGTTAAAGTAAAAAAAAAAAATTAAATAAATTTAATTCAAGTAACTTTAAAGTGTTCGCATTACATATAACTTCATTTTAATTTCAGTTAAGTTTCACATAAGTTCCAGTTCCAAATACTGGTCTAAATAATGCGCTTTTGTTCCAAATAATGGTCTAAAATAAAGTTTTACTGATTCTGTTACCCCAGGGCAAGTTGATGATTATAATAGCAAACTTGCTAATTTTGTGAGTAATTGATTCAAATGCATTCAAAACATGTATTTCCTCTGTCAGTCCTGGATATGACAAACATGCAGCATCGTCAAAACAAATTTCTACCACTATTGGATAAGGCATATTATAAGTATGTTGAATTGGGAAAAGAGATGGTTAATACACCCGCATGCTATTCTATTATTACTGATGGTTGGTCCAATATTCGAAATGACCATTTAGTGAACTTTGTGCTTTGTATTCCGAACAGGAAGCCTTTTTTTTTTTAATTTGTTGATACATCATCAGTAAGCTAAACTGGAGAAGAGGTGGCTGAATTAATAATTAAAAAATTATCCATGAACTGGACCCAGAAAAATGTATTTCAGTAATTACTGATAATGCTAGAAATATGCAGAAAGCTTTGCAGATAATTGAAGACAAGTATATATATATATATGTATATATATATATATATATATATATATATATATATATATATATATATATATATATATATATATATATATATATATATATATATATATATATATATATATATATATATATATAGTATATATATATATATATATATATATATATATATATATATATATATATATATATATATATATATATATATATATATATATATATATATATATATATATGTATATATATAATATATATATATATATATATATAATATATATATATATATATATATATATATATATATATATATATATATATATATATATATATATATATATATATATATATATATATATATATACATACATCATCTTGATTTTTGAAGAACTTCTGAAAGTAGATTTTCTTCCTCTGTGTGGCAAGATATCAGCTAGATTTCCATTATCGCACTCAAGGACACTAATAATGCTTGAAGGAAATTTAAGAGCCGATTCAACATCCTTCAAATCTCTCCAAAACTGCACTGTGTACACATTTCAAGAAATTCTCCAATTTGATCTTTTGAGCAACAGCTTGGATTTCACCATCAGCAATTCGAATTTCATCATCAGCAAGCTCCATAATAACCAATTTAGCAGGAGATAAATTGATAATTACATTATATTTTGTGTACTATCTTGTATCAACAGGTAGAATCAATCCCTTTAAGACTCCACTTTATGTTCTGATTTGGTTAAATGTTGCTAAAACAAGTTGGTGGTGCCTAATAAAATTAATCATGTCAACAGCTTTTGACAAAATGTTACAGAAGGGCTCCAATTTACAAACATCATGTATTAGTAGATATATATATATATATATATTTTTTTTTTTTTTTTTTTTTTTCAGGTCTTTTCTTATTTAATATATTCTTTTATATATGATTGGCAAAAAAATTAATAATTCAAGGTATTTCTATTATTTATTATCTGGTTTAGAATAATAATTTTAATATTTATTGCATGTTAATTGTCTATGCCACTTTTACTTGCAATTTTTAATGCATATGATTTTATTTTAGTTTAAATTTTTTTATAAATTTAAAATTGCAATCAAAAAAATTAGAAAAACTACATTAAACATTTATAATTTAAGTTTATTTTAATATTTATTGTCTAAACTGAGAAAATATTTTAATGTTTATTGCTTGTTGATTGTGTGTTCCACTTTGTTCTTGTTATTTTAAATATGTTTAATTTTGTTTAAGTTTAATCTTTTTTTTAAATTTACAATTACATAAAAAAAAATTAAAAAACTATATTAACCGTTAACAGTCCATGCCGTAATATTATGCAAACTAAAAGTGGTTTCTAAATGTCCATGCTGTAATATTACGGTTTTTTGCATCTTTTTATATTTCCCTCTTGTTCATCAGTAATTAAACATCTACTTGTCACAAAAGTTATTACTATTACAAAGCTTTTGTTTCAATAATTATCATTTAAACGTGTTCAATTTAATTTTAAATATGACAAATAAGAAAGTTCTATCAGTGTAAAAATAATTATCAAAATGTAAACATTTACTCGCGAAAAGATAGAATTTTATACATTTAATGAATCAATAATGAAAAGATATATTTAATGAATGATTATTGAAAGGGAGAATAAAAGATTCATGCTCAAAGATGGTGTGCGGTATGTTACAAACACAAAATTCTAAAAAGTTCAGGATACGAATGTGTAGAATAAGATGTAGGACTTTTCGCAGCTCTTTGCTTTTTACAATTATCATACAAAAAGTGAATGTTAGTGAACACAGTTTTTAAAATTTTATGTATATGTAGTATGATTTCTATATTCTTAAACTTGAATAATAACATTTTATAGTGTTTAATAATGTTAAAAATAGTAAAAACATTTTTTTATTCTATTTATAAAAAAACACGACAAATTTTAAAAATATGGGACATTTACAGACCACTTAAAAAAAAGAAGCTAGACTAATTGCAACTGTTTTTTAAAAAAACACAAGACTGTTAAAGGGTTAAATATTTTGGATACCGGATACTGGTGACAGATGCCGGATACCACTATCTGGTAACAGTATCCAACTGACTGGAGCGGTATCGTCGAACACTAAGATCCTTTGGTCATCTGCCCTAGAAACATTTTTAGAAACCCACATTTATCAGAACTATACAAATGCTGAAATTTTCAGAGCTCCAGTTTGTCTGGAAAGTAGTGAAAAATCAAGATTCCGCTACAAAAAGTGAGGGTGTGCCCTGTTATCCATATATATGGAAATCCATATACTTTCAGACCTAAATATTTGTATTTTTTAAAAGATTGATGAATATAGAATGATGTGTAATATATATATACATTTTTGATACCATCAAGGCCACATATCTTTCTTCAGCATGAAGATCTGGTTATAAAAAATTACTTCCATTTTTTCAATTAATAAATACAGGTACTTAAAATAAATGTTTTACATTTCTGACCATTTTATTCATTTCGCCACCCCTAAAAAAATAGCCAGGTACAAATTTTTTAAAAAAGGTCAAATATTTTTAATGTAACTTGAAACTGCTAGATAAACATTGCAATTTTAAGGGGATGAGAGGAGCCTGGCCAACATCTGTTGAAAGTAAAAATTTCAGGACCTTCTTGGAGCCAAAGGCTAAAATTTTTAAGGAATTGTTATTTTACTAAGTACTCTCAACTGTTGAAAATTAGCAAAATCTGAGATGTAGGGTGAAATTTTTAAAAATTTCAGGGTCATTTGACATGGAATTACTCCTGCACCATTATTTAAATAATGGTGCAAGAGTTTTAGGATATTTGATCCTGTCAAATACCCTAAAACTTGTAAATATTTACAAGTTTTAGGATATATACTATACTATTATTCCCAGGTGCCAAAACAACAAAACAAACATAAAGTAGTTCTTATTTTTCAGCAGATTGTATTGACACAAAAGTTTAAAACAAAAATAAACACCTGCTCCTCAGTTGTGTGTGTTATGAAACCGTCATCTTTTAGAAGAAAAATTCCACGTTTAAGGACCATTTTGATATATATATTATAAAGGTTTCTTTATGTTTATCAATCAGTCGCACGTTTTTTTAAATATACTTTTAAAATATACGGTTCCGTTCCGTTCGGATCGATAGAAATTGGTTCGGCGAACGATTTTTCTAAAAAAAAATTCTAGAAAGTTCTAAAAATGTCGTACATAAAATACGAACGCTCATAGGGGGTGGGTAAATAGCGTAGAGGAGGGAGTAGGTGGTAGGGGGAAGGGTTTCATTTAAATTACGTACTTTGTTTTTCTAATATATACTACTAGTTTTAACAAAAAGTTAAAATTCAGAATAAAGATCCTAGTTTGCCAACAAAAAAGGATTTATGGTATAAGCATGAAAGTATAAAACAGATGGAAGTTCATCGAGCCGCAAACATCAAAGCAATTTCAAGTCACCTCGGAAGTATGCTTGTAACCGACAATAGAAAAAAAAAAACAAGTTTCACTAGACAAAAAAAAAAAAATTCACTGAAATGATTTTTATTAAAACATCAAAAAATGAATTATTCTAGGGATATGCGGCAAAGTTTTAACCATTAGTAATTGCATTTTTTCAGCAAAAGGTTTATTAAAACTCGGTAATTAAATAGAACCGCTTGATTTTAAATGCATATGTTAGTTTAAGCTTCTTTTCTAGCTTTAAGCCATAATACGACATTTGATCAAAAAGACAACTAAAACAATTTTTAAAAAATCAAAAAAATCGTTTTCTAAATAGCTAAAGTTTAAAGCTTCACTAGCTGTATATCATAATTCCATTCATTTTTGTAGTACTCCATTCATTTAATATGAAGTTCGTAATATAAGTTGTTGTTTGCCGTTCCGAAGAATTTCAACGCGGTTGAACTTCCATCTGTTTTATAATTCTATGGTATAAGGGAGTCAAGGGATAGATTCCCTTTATGCACACAGATGCCACTCCTTATATACTAACCGTAAACAGCCCCCCTCCCCAAGGAAACTTGTCATTAGGGTCTTAAAATCGTTCAAATTTTACTGCTAGGTATTGCTAAAAAAAGACTCCTTAAATTTCCAAAATGACACCTATATTTGCTAAACCTCCCCCTCTCCTTTAATTTGGTAAATGGGTAGCCTACCTCCGGCACTGGGTTTTAGGCTTTGTTTTCAATATTACTGATCTCGCTTAAGACTCTTTTTTTAAAGACTTACTTAAGAGGGGTGCCTGAAAAAACGTCCACCTAAGGTAAAGTTTTCTTTTATTGGATTCGCCATTAGAACAATTTTTTTTAAATAAAAAGTAAAACATTTGGCCAAACGAAAAAATTCCAAATAAATGTAAATAAACTTTATTAAAATAAAAAGATGGGGGTGGGGGAGGGATATGATCAACTTTAAAATCGATCGCTCTAATTTAAAAATGTTTATTCATTTATACATATTCTAAATTTATATAAAACTTTTTTATTGAAAAAAAAAAATTATATAAAACTTTTTTATTGAAAAAAAAAAATGATGGAGGGGGGTATTTCCAAAAGCGTTCATACTTTTAGGAAGGTCGGAGGACTTACAAACGATAGGAGGGAGGGTGTCAATTTTCTAAATTTATAACCGCCACCTATAAAAATTTAGAATTATAAATTTTTTTTAAATAAAATATAGAAAAATTTATAATTATAAATTTTTTCTAAATTATAACCGCCGGGTATAAAACTTCCGTTTTATAACCGGCGGTTATAAAACGTTTTATAAATGTTCCGTTTTATTAACGCTATTTATAAAGTGGAGACTCAACGGAAGCATTCTAATCCTTCCATTAAATTTCTGTTTATTTACCACCCCGTTAATTTCCATACAAGGGTATGTCTTCTCTACCGTGAAGAACCGTGGTTTTTGAAAAAATAAGTAAATTTTTTAAGTTTTTTTTTTAAATATATTTTTTTAGTATAGTTTTAAACAAAACTAACTTATTTCAGTAATAATATATTTTTATTATAATATAACTTAATATATTTTGAAGAACAACTGCAAGAGCACTCACAGCTATAAATTACGGCAAAGAGTTAAACGGAAAAAAAATAACGCATAAAAAAAAGATACTTAAGTAGAAACAAAGTTCTAATTCAGAGAATATCTTTAGTGAACAATTTTTTTAGTTGAGTATTAACTATTAATCTAAAAACCCTAAATTTTATTCAGTTATGGTTTTGGAGTTAAGAAGTTTTACAATTAAAAGTTTTTTTAAAGTCACAGTAGGAGAAGACCTTATATCTTTATATTAATATCTTCTTCAATATAAACTGATTTCTGGAATATTTTCCATTCATAATTCTTTCTTTTACAGCTAAACGATAAAAATTATTTTCATTTCAGTCAAATATAGTTCCAAATAAGTTTCTAGGATCTCCACCACCAACACCACGGTCTACTAAAGTATAGCTTTAGTAGACCGTGGTGTTGGTGGTGGAGATCCTAGAAACTTATTTGGAACTATATTTGACTGAAATGAAAATAATTTTTATCGTTTAGCTGTAAAAGAAAGAATTATGAATGGAAAATATTCCAGAAATCAGTTTATATTGAAGAAGATATTAATCAAAATGAAGAAGTTAGTCTGAGAAGCGCTTTCAAACTTCGATTGATCTGCAAAAAAGATGGTTTTACTAAATGCAACAGTTCAGGATCCAACAAATGTTAGAAAAATAGAAATATTTTAAAGCAAAGTTGAAAGTAACAGTTGTTGTCATGTCAATGTTGTCATGTCATGTCACCTCTAATATTTAATATCCTTTTTAACAAAATAAATCACTCTAACTAGATTTTCAAATCAAAACTACATTCATCCCAAAAATCAATTATAGAGCCACCAAATATTTCATTGTAAATAGACGACCCTAATAATGATTTTAAACTAATAACGACATCAAAACTTCTTTTATAAATGAAAACATAAACTTCTTACTATTAAAAATGAAGTTATTTCTAGATAATCTTATTCTCTTTTAATATATTTATTTTTTTAATTTTGTTCCTATTTTTTTTTTTATATATATATATATATATATTCATATATGTTTTATATAATATCATTTTTTTAATAATTATTATTACTTTTTATTTTTTTATTTTCAAACAAGTCGCCAGGTTTTCTTTTTTCTGTTCTTGTTATTATTAACTTAAACAAGTTTAAAAATAACTCTTAATGCTATTATAATTATTGGTTACTTGGTTTCACTTACTTTAACAAATAATTTTTTTTATAACTTTTTATTTTAAATTAGCTCTTATATCTAATTTTTCTTTTTATAACTTAAGGTTTTTTTTGTCTTTTATTAAATTGTTTCATACGTTGTTGTTCTTTTTTTTGGCATTTGTTTATTTAATATTTATTAATTTTTAACGGTGTTTTAAAAAGAGTATATCATATAAAATAACTGTTTGTAATGTAAAATTACGATGTAAACTAGGGGACTTAGTGATACAACTATTGTCTTCTTTTTGCTCCTGCCATGGAAATATTTATGCTTTTTGCCCCTAAATCTTATCCTGTTACTGTGACTCTTCCTAAGTCTACTTCTGTTCATTACGAAGATGACAATATCTTCGCGATAAATTTTAAAAAAATCAGACTAACATTATCATTATTGTCATTTATCTCACTTGTTGCGCAATAATCAAACATGGCTGGAGGAATATAAGAGTCAGTTGGATATAGTTTAAGCAGTTATTTATAACTACAAGGGTGTTGCACAAGTTGTTGTACTTTGCGACTTAATCGAATTAACTAAAATTAATAGACGTAACAAAAATATTTTATTTATCCATTTACTTAACCCAAAATTGAAAATTACAATTTTTTTAATAATTTTACAAAATTAGCTTAGGTGTCACTCAAAAACTAGTCATTGGAGCGACACCTAAATAAAATAAACAAACAAAACCAAGCGAAAAATTCAACAGCAATATTAATAAATAAAAGCAAGCGTAAATAAAATTAATTTGAAAAAAAAAATGATTGAGCTATAATAAATTAAATAAAAAGACAAAAAAATATGAAAACACTCAGTTAAATAACAACAGCGAACAACAATAAAAATAATTAGCAGCAACAACACAAATAATAACAAACATTACGCAAACGAAGAGGCAAGCACAAAAATTACAAAACGAAAACAAAAACTACATAACGAAAAGGCAAACACAAAAAACTTCTACAAAATAAAATAAATTATATTTGTTATTCTTGGCGAAAAAAGAAAAGCGTAAAAATTTTTTTGCGAATTATTTTTGTTTTAATTAGTTCTTCTTATAATTTTCAAACTTTTTTCGAATTTCTTTTTCTTTAACTTGTTACTTCGTTCTTAATTGATTGTTTTTGTTTTTGTTTTATTTTATTAAATCTATTTGTTCGTTTTACTTTTTTATTCATTTTCTCGTTTTATATTTTCTTCAATCTTTTAGTTCTTTTATACTTTTTAATATTTTTATTTTACTATATTTTTAACTAATTTTTTTTGTTCTTGAAATTTTTTCTTTCGTTTTTTCTTTTCTCTTTTTTTCCTTATTTGTATGCATTTATATTTTGAAACTATATCTAAAATATTTATTGATTGCTGTTTATCAATTTTAATGCTTTTTTTTCAATATTTTTTTGTATTGCCATTTATTTTAGATAATCATAAAATGCTGCATGCTAAAGCTACGTAATCATCAGATACTTAAGATAAAAATTAAGCGAATGAGATATAGTATATATTAGTCACTTATAAAAGTTTAATAAAAGTAAATACAATTTTTTTGGTGTCAGTTAAGTGAATAGCTGCTAAATATATTTTTATCAATTTAACAGTCAAACTTTGAAAGCATGAGAAAGAAGGATATAAAGCAGATTGGTGCATCAAACGCTGGTTAAAACAAACTCTTGACAGTAGTTTTATAAAACTTATAGTTTCTTCATGAATTTTATTTAATTCATTTCGTTAGTGTGTTATTTTAAACCTTTTTTATTTAATGCAAAGATTACATTTCTTTTTTTTTACAGTTTTTAAGCTTATTTTACATTTTTTTTCACTTTCAGCTATTCAGCTTGATTTGAATGTATAACATTTG